TTTTTTTTTTTTTTGTCATATCTAATCACTTAACTAGGATTTAGGAAAAGTTTAATGCCTCTTATAATCAGTTTGTTTTCTTTTTATGTTACGGGGGAAATAGGGTTCTTGTCATACAGAGCCATTTCTAACCTGGTTCCAATCTATGTGCTGTCCTCATCTTTCCACTGTCACCTGCTTTTTAATTCTATAAAATTACTCATTTATGCTGTAATTGCTTTTGGCTTAATACCAAGCTTAAGCCTTTTACTCATAGCAAATTATCTTGGGTTTTCTTTCTTTCAGTAATGTTTATTTGGAAATGTGCTGAACTAAAATAAATATGAAATGTCATCTGTATTCAGTATTTTTTTTTTTAATTGTGAAAACGACCTGTAATTGTTGAACTATGTCTGGACTGGGAGAACTGTGAGTGGACTTGTATACTCCGAAGGCTTGCTTGACTGGAAGTATATAAAACCTTATGGGAAATCATAGGCTTTTCCTTCCTTCTGTAGAGTCTCTTGTAACTGAACTTGATCTTGTGGAAATTTGGGAACATTGTCCAGGAGCTGCTAAAAGACAAACTTCTGTGGGTATGTGGCTTCCCTGTCTACACCCACCTACCTGGTCTCTTCTCTTAAAACTGAGTACATCCCTTTGAGGGCTGAAGAAATCGGGGTTGACTATTCTAGAATTCTCAAGAGAAATGTGCTTTAAATCTTTACAAAACTTTTCTTTTTTCAGGGGCTCCTGGTGGCTCAGTCGGTTAAGTGTCCAACTTTGGCTTAGATCATGATCTCACGGTTCGTGAGTTGGAGCCCCGCATTGGGCTCCCTGCTGTCAACACAGAGCCTGCTTCATATCCTCTTCTCCTCCCCCACTAATGTGCACGCACACGCGTGCACACGCACACGCGTGCGCACACACACACACACACACACTCTCCCTCTCAAAAATAAATAAAAACAAAACTTTTTTTTCTTTTTTTAGAGAACTTCTCCAAAGACACAGGACATAAGATGTAAATCCAGTGCTATTTGATAGTAAATCCTAGCTTCCACAGGGACTTTGACTAGTTTAATTGCTTTTTACTAGGTTTGTTTGATAAAAGCAACTGCTCTAATACAAAGAATTTTATCTAGTCCCATTGTGGTAAAAGTTATCCTTTGTTGGTTGCGAGTTCCTCACGTACATAAACATTCTGGGCCTCATGTTTAATAGCTAATTAAGCAACACAGTTATCACGTGGCTGTCATTAATATTGTATGATTAGTATGTGCCAGGCAGTATTCTAATAGTGCATTTTCTGTGTATTAACGAATTTAATCCTCACAGCAGTTCTATCATGAGTTAGCTTTATCTTCCTATCCCATTTTCTATAAAAGGAAGAAGTTATTAAGTGGTTATAACCAAAGATTTTCAAATTTCTAACGAAGGAGAGAGATTTGAAAGACAGTAACTATGACAAAACTAGAGCTAGTTTTGTGTGTAGCTCTGTATTTCTGAAGTAGATAGGTATAGTGAGTCTGGGCTTACAAATTATGTGTTTACAAATAACAGGCCCTAGAAAAACCCAAAGTACATGTGAATCTATCAGGTTCAACTAGTAGATTCAGAAAAATTGTAAAGCTCAGTGAATTATATGTGAAACATTATTTTTAAGTGGACTGTCTGGTAATGGCAAAGAACGTGTTTGTAAAGAGCTTAGCTGACTGGATTAGAATAAAGAAATTGTCTCTCTCCATCTGTTCTAATTAGCTTATCTCTTCTGCTTTCATAGCCTGCTGCTTCTTTCAGAAAAGAAGTGAGAGGTATTTTGAAAGGACACCATTTTTATTTAAGCTAATTTATAATGGTTTTGGAATGGTTGTCAGTTTTCAAAGATAAACTTTGAAATGTTAGACCTTTCCTATAATAATTCGTTACTGGAAGTTTCAAGGCTTTTTTGGGTGCTCAAGGATTTTGGCCTCTCCTTATTCCTTTGATTTTGGCCCAAATGATTATGTTTCCTCATTTTGGGAAGATTTCTCTGGGTATTTTGATATTTGTCGTGATAGAAGGAAACCTTCCATCATTAACAGGTATTTAAAAAGCTTTTTAATTTTAATTTTTTTATTTTTCTTTATATCTCTAGTGTATTCTCTTTAACATTATTTAATTTAATATGACCATTGTAAGAACTTGAATCAAATACTACTCTGTTAGGCTTTGATATTGCTTCATTTAAACTTTTAAAATCTCTCAATATTTTTGGTTTTCCTTTTCATTAGTAATTTCTTCTTCAGACTTACTTCCGCTTATTTCTTGTATTGAAATTGGATATATAGTTGATTTTAACAACTAAGAATCTTGAAATAAAGGAGTAGGAATTAGATGGAGAAAAGATTGACTGCTCACTCCTCCCCTCTTAAGTATGCATGTTTACAATTTGAGCATTGACTTCAAAATCCAAATGTGGCACAAAAGTCAGTTTTTCTTTGTTACTTTTCATTCTGTATCTTCATTCATTATCAGAAGACTTGTGTATGCTTTCACTATGTAGCACAAACCTACATATCTTTAGAAGATATCCAAGAACCCAAGAGTGCAGTTTCTTTTCGCCTGACTGACAAGGAATCCGGGGAGCCTTCTCATTCTACTGAAAAGAAACTACCTTTGGACCACAGAGAAGCTGAGAAACAGTGGTTGCTCAGAAGAAGGCGATCTATCCTGTTTCCTAATGGTGTAAAAACCTGCCCAGATGAAAGCATTACAGAGGCTGTGGCAAAGCATGTAAAGTACTTTAAAGTACGAGGTAAGTGAACATCCAAACCTTGGGACTCCGTGATGAAATTCAAACATACTCCTAGCATGTTGTTGTATCTTGTTAAAATTCAGAGTATGTGATAATTTAGACACGGAGCCAAATATTATCTTTCTCTTAGCTATGGAAAAAGGACTTGCTATAAGTATAGTATTTATATAGCTTCAGAGGAAAGTTTGCATTAAGAGAGGAAATGGCTTAAATCTTTGAAGCACTTCAAAAATACCAGTTTATGTTACTGGAAGATTTAACTATTTTTACTTCTTCATTAAGTAATTAGTCTAAATGTGCCCACAAAATATATTTACCATGGTATACTTACCTATTTGGCTAATTAGTTACTTTATGTACATGAAAATATAATACATGTCTATATTTTATAGTTTAGACATTCTACAGATTCATGCTGGTTATACTCTGGTTGGTACACATAAACCTTATATCTAAGATGATGACAACTCTCACAATAGACCCTAAAGCAACAGAACTAGGATTTTATTTTTAATTTAACAGTATTATCCTTGATTGAATACTTTTTCATTAGGTGAATTCATTCTGTTTCTTAAATTTACTATCTTAAATTTACTAACCAAAATTGCTTAACTGACCATAATATGTCCCTCAGATTTAAACGATTCTCAAACTTTGCTTTTTTGCTGCTAAAGAGACAATGTGATACGATGGATGTGATGCTAGTAAACTAAAGTGGAGGTGAATGATTAAATGATAGTGCAATCAGGCTAGTTCATTTATGTATGTTTTCAACAAATGTTTGTGGGGCACTTGCCATTTTCCATATGTTGGGCTCTATGAACCTTCAAGTCTAAGCTGCTACTTTATCTTCTCCTTTTTTATTTTCCTCCGTCTTGTCTTTCCCCTCCTCCTCCGTCACCAAAGCAAGCGATTGATTGATTGATTCATTTATTCATTTCAGAGCTAGTGTTTTCTGTCTTAAGTTGTTATTTAAATTCCAGCTATTCAACATACAGTACAGTATTAGTTTCAGGTATACAATTTATGCGATTCAACACTTAACATACGCACCCAGTTCTCATCAGAACAAGTGCACTCCTTAATCCCTATCTCCTATCCCCCTACCTATCTCCCTACTAGTAACCATCAGTTTGTTCTCTATAGTTAAGAGTCTGTTTCTTGGTTTGCCTCTCTCTTTTTTAACCTATGCTTATTTGTTTTGTTTCTTAAATTCCACATATGAGTGAAATCACATGGTAATTTGTCTTTCTTTGACAAATTGACTATTTTGCATAGTATAATACTCTCTAAGCAAGTGTTTTTAAAATAAAGTAATACCAGATATTACATATATAAAATTTTTTTGTTAAAATAATTTTTTAGGGGCGCCTGGGTGGCGCAGTCGGTTAAGCGTCCGACTTCAGCCAGGTCATGATCTCGCGGTCCGTGAGTTCGAGCCCCGCGTCGGGCTCTGGGCTCATGGCTCAGAGCCTGGAGCCTGTTTCCGATTCTGTGTCTCCCTCTCTCTCTGCCCCTCCCCCGTTCATGCTCTGTCTCTCTCTGTCCCAAAAAATAAATAAACGTTGAAAAAAAATCATTTTTTAATGTTTATTCCTTATTTTGAGAGAGAGAGAGAGACCGAGTGTGAGCGGGAGTCAGGCAGAGAGAGAGGGAGACAGAATCCGAAGCAGGCTCCAGGCTCTGAGCTGTCAGCACACAGCCCGACGTGGGGCTCGAACTCACAGACTGCGAGATCATGACCTGAGCTGAAGTTGAAATCTTAACCAACTGAGCCGCCCAGGCACCCCTAATTTTTTAAGTGCCACTGTATTAACACATTTTTTAAGGAGTGTGTTTACAACTCTTGATTATACTGTGAGATTATCAAACATTACTAAGCAATAAGCTTCCCTTTTACATTTGTAATGGAAATCCATTGATTCTGACTTTTGTGTATAGGGCATGTGCCAGAAGTGGCAAATTCCAAAGAGAGTGGGAAGAGAATAAAAGACTGAAGATGAATGGGAATGACAGTTCATAACTTATCAAAACGTTATTTCTATTGCCTTGGTTTTTCCTTTTAAAATAAATAGATCAGAATATCTAGGTAGATGCTGGGTAAGTGGTGAAGAGGAAATAACCATTTAAGCAATGTGGTTATATCTTTTAATTTCTTTGCTCTGATGTTTATAAATTCAAGAGATACTATTGAAAAAGAAGCCAACAAAAAGAAAAGCATTCCTAGAGTAATTGATTTTAAAATACAGATGCTATGAATGGGACCATTAGAAAGGGACCTCACAGACCTAAAAGACTCGGCACAGCACATCAGGACTGTAACAGTGTTGATATAGCTATTACTGTCATTGTAAAGAGTAAATATTTTATGTTTTTGAAGATTAGGAAAAATGAATATTTCAGCAAAAGTCTTGAAGAGATTTTGTAGGGATAATTGGATTATGCCCTTAGAACCAAATATTTGGAAATTAGAGGGAGAGATCCATTCAATGTCCAACTGAGGATCTTAGCTCTTTCTCAAGCTAATTCATTTTAGTGGTTTGCCCAATTTTTCCTTAATAGAGAATTTGGCTTCAGTTGCTAGGTGGTGTAACAAAGTTGAAAAATACCTTCATTTAAGCAAGAAGCAACTGCATTTAACCTAATGATTTGTGAAATTAAACAGATATTTAGGGTACTTGGGGTTGAATGCAGTTAATACTCTCCTCCTACTTTATTTTTTTTTTTATTTTATTTTTTTTTTTAACGCTTATTTATTTTTGAGACAGAGAGAGACAGAGCATGAAGGGGGGAGGGGCAGAGAGAGAAGGAGACACAGAATTGGAAGCAGGCTCCAGGCTCTGAGCCATCAGCCCAGAGCCTGACGCGGGGCTCGAACTCACGGACTGCAAGATCGTGACCTGAGCTGAAGTCGGATGCTTAACCGACTGCGCCACCCAGGTGCCCCTCCTCCTACTTTAAAAAATTATATTTGTAGGTGGACTTTTAAAATATAACTTTATTGAGGTATACTTTGATGGATTATTGCTGCATATTTAAGTTACATAATCTGATTAGTTTTGACAAACATATTTACCCTTGAAATCATGCAGTTAAGATAATGAATGTATCACTCACCACTAAACATTTTCTTATTTGCCTTTGTAATCTGTCCCCTCTCAGCACTTCCCTTTATCCCAGTACTGAGGCAACCTAATCTGCTTTTTATCACTATGGATTGTTTGCATTTTCTACACTTTTATATATAAATGTAATCATATATGTACACTATTTTGTCTGGCTTCTTTTGCTCCGTGCAATTATTATTTCGAGACTCATTTGTGACTTTTTTTTTTTATCAGTAGTTTGTTTCCTTTTATTGTTGAGTAGTATTCTATTTTAGGGATATACCACATTTTGGGATATTAGGGTTTTTTTCAGTTATTATAAAGAAAGCTGTCATGAACATTTGCATTCAAGTTTTTGTGTCAACAAAACCTTTTGGTTAATAGTGCAATGGCTGGAGGGCCGCCTCGGTGGCTCAGTCAGTTGGGTGTCTGACTTTGTTTGGCTCAGGTCATGATCTCACAGCCTGTGAGTTCGAGCCCCACGACGGGCTCTGTGCTGACAGCTCGGAGCCTGGAGCCTGCTTCGGATTCTGTGTCTCCCTCTCTCTCTGCCCCTCTCCCGCTCAAGCTCTCTGTGTCTCTCTCAAAAATTAACATTAAAAAAAATTAGAAAAAAATAGTGGAATGGCTGGGTCTCATGATAGGTGTATGTTTAACTCTTTATGAAGTTGCTAAATTGTTTCCCAATGTGGCTGTACCACCTGCACTGTATTAGAGTTCCAGTTTTTCCACATCCTTGCAATACTTGGTGTAGTCAGTCTTTTTAAACTGTAACCATTCTAGTGACTATGAAGCAATTGTGGTTTTAATATGCATTTTCTTAATGGCTAGTGATGTTGAGCACCTTTTTCATGTGCTCATTTACCATTTGCTTATCTTTTTTGGTGAAGAGTTTATTCGAATATTTTGCTCATTAAAAAAAAATAATTGGGTCATTTGTCTTATAGAATTGTAAGAGTTCTTAATATATTCTAAATACAAGCTCTTTGTCAGATACATGTTTTGCATACATTTTCACCCAGTGTGTGGCTTGTCTTTTGCTTTTCTTAATAATATCTTTTGAGAAACAGAAGTTTTCAATTTTGATGAAGTTCAACTTAAAAGTTTTTTTTTGTTGTTGTTTTTTTTGGGGGGGGTCATGCTTGTTTTTGGTTTTATCTAAGTTTGCCTAACCCAAAGTCAAAAGAATTTTCTATCTTTTCCTGTAAAAATTTTATAATTTTCAGGTTTTACATTTAGGTCTATGATCTACTCTGAGTTAATTTTTGTATGTGGGGTATATGGATCAGAGTTAAATATTTGCATATGCTTAGCCAATTGTTCTAGCACCATTTATTAAAAAGATTATCCTTTCTTGCCTTTAAGGCTTTGTTGAAAAATCAGTCTTCTGTATTTAGTGAGTCTATTTCTTCATTTTCTTCCACTGATCTATATGCCTGTTTTTATGCCAATACGACACTGGCTTGATTACAATAAGTCTTTGAATCAGATAGGGAAGGTTCTTCAACTTTGTTCTTCTTTTTTCAAATTCACTTTGTAATGCTAGGTTCTTTGTCTTTCATATAAATATTAGCATCAGCTTGCCAACTTATACAAAAAGGGTGGCTGGAATTTTGATTGGGGTTGTGTTGAATTTATTGATCAATTTAGGAAGAATTGTCATCTTAACAGTATTGGGTCTTCTGCTCTATGAATGTGATACAGCCCACCATTTACTTAGGTCTTCTTCAATTTCTCTTGACAGTGTTTTGTAATTTTCAGTATATAGGTCTTATAGCTCTTTTTATCAGATTTATATATTTTTATTTTTTATGCCATTGTTAATGTTATTTTAATTTCTTTTTAAAAAATGTTTATTTATTTATTCTGAGAAGGAGAGCACGAATGGGGGAG